GTCTCCTCCACAGCGATTCCGACGCCATGCGTACCACCCTTGTCCGTGCCACAGGTGAACACCCGAAAACCGGATGCTGCGAACTCCGTTCGCCCTGGTCTCCTGACCTCCTGCAGACCGACAAACGAAATGCCCTGTTTCGCTGCCTCGTGCTTCATGCTATTTCCGAATTCTTTCGAGGGAGTACGTTTAGTCGCGTTTTTTTTTTTTTGTACGAACTGGACACTTTACACTTAGAATGTTTCGATACTTTGATTTTATGTGAGGTACTGAGTGAAGTGGTCGCTCTCTGCGGTGTGTTTCTGGCCGCGCGCACGAAATGGGATGATAGCGCGTTGTTTGACATGCATGAAGGCATACCGATCAGGGAGCAGGGGGGCTTTCGGAGTTCCAGTTGAGGAGACAGTTTGTATACGGTACGAACTTTTCCCAGAGTTTGATGCCGTGTGTGTTTCGTGTTTTCATGTTTCTGGTTTGTATCGCATGTTTCGCTGCTCTTGCATCGAAAATCATGGGGGGGGNGCAGGGGGGCTTTCGGAGTTCCAGTTGAGGAGACAGTTTGTATACGGTACGAACTTTTCCCAGAGTTTGATGCCGTGTGTGTTTCGTGTTTTCATGTTTCTGGTTTGTATCGCATGTTTCGCTGCTCTTGCATCGAAAATCATGGGGGGGGAGGTCATGTATGACCATGATTCTAGAGGGCATGAGCAGCAATCGAATTGGTTTGTTTTCTGGTCGCGCCTACTTGTGTGTTAGGTGAACGGCAAAGCAAGGGGGCTGTTGGCATCGAAATATTAGCTCGGGGTGAATTTTGGGAGCTGACAGCAGGGGGGCTGTTTGCGTGGATGCCTGCTTACGTTTTCTATCGTTTCTTGGACAACACCGACCGTACCGATCGGCGGGTGCGCGCTGTGTAGGATTTGGTCCTTGGACACTGTATTGGAGGAAGGATTTGACATGTTTTAACGATAATTGGTGAGGGGCGTTGTTTTCCGAATTCTCATTTTGATTGGTCAAGAAGTTGAGTTTGTGTTTTGTTTGAAGATTTGGTCCCAACTCTTGTTTTTCCAGAAATATCCGTGTTCGTTCCGACGCCTTTCTGATGTAGCACAAACAAGTGTTGGGTACCTTTCTGAGAATGATTCTTTTGTGTCTGACACAACGGTTTGAGATTAGTTCCAGAGACGAACGCGTTGGATTCGTGAATAAACTGATGGAGACGCGTTGTGTTGAATGTGTAGACTAGCCAGTTGTGTTGAGTAAGTTTTATCGAGGGGTTTTTTTCTGTGTTGGCTATTTGCGCGTGAAGGGTTGCAAGATCGTTCATCGTATCAAGTAGGGGGGCTGTTTGTGGTACTTGGATATGAGTCCGATCCGTGCATCCTCTGTGCGGGATACGCGTATGGGAGTATGGATGTGAAGGGCATGTATGCGGTTGGGGTCCAAGTGCGGTCCCCCCGGGTGAGCTCACGGCGGTGTGCTCCCGGCACTTGCCTGAGGGGCTTGCGTGTTGGTGACCAGCTTGCCTGAGGGGCTTGCGTGACGGATATATATAATACTTGGTCCTTATTCATCTGCTGTTCCTGGGATAACATAGCACCCAGTCTCAACACCACAGACCGCTGAGGGCGGCAGTGCACCACAGACCGCTGAGGGCGGCAGTGCACACTAACGAAGGGCAGGGCCGGGCGGTGGAGGAAAAGGCACATAAATGAGTGTCACGCGAGGCATCGACATGGCAAAACGAAACCAACCGTCAATTTTGCAGACGACAGAACATGCAGTTTTGGCGCCA